ATGTGCAGAAATTAAAGATTGAATACAGATGATTTCTTTCGGCCTAATCTCTGGAGGTTCGACGACCACATCTAATGCTTACATTCCCCGTTGAGCATCCAATAAATTGGATTATGCTCGGTTGCATTAAATCAAAATGGCAACAAAAGTTTAACCAATACACCGAGATAGCACATGAACACTCATCTTTCAAGAATAACATCCGATCATGAAGAATCACCAAAAATCTTCTCAAACTCTGAAATAACAACTCAAAAGAACCCTCCAATTCTTACAAACATTCACTTAGAATATCACAAATCAGAGGCTAATTTTCACATAACGTGTTTCTCAAATCAAGAATTTCTCTCGTTTTTTTCTCTCTATCTCAAAAACAAACAACCAAAACCAAATGAATCAGCCAACAGATGCCATGAAACGGCATACATGAGATAAAGCTCAAGAACCATCCAGAAGCAACAATCAACGGCCAGATTAAAGCCACATATCCCAATCCAGTGAAAATAAAGTCGCATTTTGCAAATGCGTTCTCATCACAAATTCTGGGAGCACACATAATTCGGACCAGGGTTTGAATCCAACATAACTTCAGATAAATTCACATTTTTCATTCTCCGAAACTATGTTCATGAACTGAGAGTAAGGTTGTCATGTTTGTTGAGCCATTAAGATTTTAGAACGACATTTTGTACAGTAAAGCTAGACTCTTGATACCTATGTTCATCTGTTTTTATACATGCATGGAACAAAATAAGCACTGCTTATCCTGAAAAAAGATAAAAAAAAAAAAAAGATAAAAACTTCATCGCTGGAAGCCCAAGCTTGTATACTGTTGGGTATTTTAGTGATGTCCAAATAATCCCTAGGCTATGATGAAAAATAGTGGCCCGTTAACTTCATAGGCTATAAGCCCTGGATTGAAGAATATCATTTAATCCACACCACAAAGAGTTGGAACCCAATTGTTGTTGGGTATTTTGAGGAAATCAACCCATTAGGGTTTGGTGCTCAATACTCGGTTTGTTGAGATAACTTTGAAAAAAAGATTGGGTTCACTTGGTATCCTTATCCTCTATATCTCTATCCTTGATAACTAATTTCATATCTTGAGGAGTCTATCTTTGTGAGAAACTCAT